TTCTGAGATGTCGAAGCCAGGAAGGTGGAACCTAGACATTAGTAGCTGGGGCATTCTTGGCACGACTTACAAACATTAGAGCCCAAGGGGCGTGTTGTAGGATTGGCAGGTCGTAGCGGGTGATGAAGGAGGTATGCAGACGCGGTGTCGAGAGGTGGGGGGTTTTGCAAGTGATGGTTCAGGGCAGGGCAGGCAGGCTGACAGGCCGTCGATTGAGTTGAGAGCCTAAAGTACGCGTCATCGATGAGCAAGATCGAAGATTGATCAGTGGAGAGTACACGCAGTAAGAAGGCAGGGTGAAGATCGTGAAGGGAATGGCACCACACCGGGCAGACACTGCACGCCCATGCACCAGGTGTCTGGTTGGTTGGGTTATGGACACTGTCATCCACAGCGACAACACCATCAGATCTGACAGAATGCAACACCGCTGAGATGCCCCGCACTCACCCGCTCTACCCGCATCGGCACTTGGGCCCAATTGGGCCGGCTGCAACCTGACCTGCCCCCCATGCCACCGCTCATGACGGCGAGGGCGTATGCGTAGACAAGGAGGCGGAGAGGGAGGAGGTGGAAAGGAAGATGGAGGAGGATGGGGAGCGCGTTCAGAAGTGGGAGATCGGGGAGAGTTAGTAAGAAGTGTCGAGGAGGAGGCGGCTGCCAGTGTGATGCAGCGGAGCGCCTTGCATATTCTCGACGTATACGCACGTTTCCTAATGATGATTGAGTGGTATGAAGTAAAAGGACAAGTTGAATACCTACCTACCATTGCCGGGATCCATGCGCACAGATGCTCAATGGCCGGAGTCTGTCGGACGCGATGGGAGTTGGCCAGTATTAGTAGGCGCTTGTGGTTTCCGGAAAGGGTAGGCCAGTTTCGGGCGCTGTGGCCATGCAATACCATTGTTTGCACAATTTGCTGATGTGGGCATCATTGTTCCTAGCGTAGTAACAACATGGTATACATGCACAGAACATAACACCATGTATGCATAAGTTCAATATATCTCCCTGAGCAGGTGTGAGCTGCCAAAACATGTCCGAAGGCCACAACGGAATCGCTGACTCCTGAGTATGCACGTCAGAAATAGTCAACACCAGTAATCCGGTGTGAACCTGTCGGCTTATCTACTCGACTAAATAGAGCGACACATTGTTCAAAAGCTCAGTATCTGTGCTGGATCACCTTGAAGACTGCATATGTGATGTGGTTTGAACACAGCTGCTAAAGCCGTTAAGACAGACTCAAGCAGGATACACGAGAGTCTATAATCTCGCTCGCCAGCAGCATTGTAGCGCACATTCCCGGGCTGTTTTGTGCTGAGGGTGACTGCTGCCTTTGATATTATGAGGATTACCGCTGTGCTCAAGGCATGACTCGTGAGGAGTCAACACATCCATCCAGGAATTACCAGGCCATGCCATGGCAGCCAAGCATAGGCTCGAAGTAACTGAAGTCACGGCTGTCCCGGGACCTCCCGGTCCTACGAGATACCAACTTTGGTAGCTATGACATCATCAATGGAGCTAGCCCGCGAGCTGGCTTGAAAACGAGCTGACGATCAGCTCGTTTCTAGGCGTTTCGGCTTAGCTTAGCTTCTTGCAACAAGCTGGGCGTCTAGTTGGCAAGCTGAGCTAGCTGGATAAGCCGGCCCGGCTTGGCGGCAACACTACGT